TTTGGGAACTTCATCTACCTGTCCTAAAAATAGCACTTAAGTCTAAAACTGCGTCATTCAAATTAATCATGCGATCTGATCTTACGTAACCCTTAATGCAGATGCCTCTTGACCAATCACCAAATTGCAAACCAAAACTTTTCTCTTTGCGTGCTTCCATCTTATATAACTACACACTTCAGCTTTGCTCTCTACTGTGCTAAGATGTAATTTCACTGGCTTGCTTTCTATCTAAACAATATCAAAAATGTAAATCTTCTGTGGAAAGGCACGACTAGAGTGTCAAGTGATTGTGGCCACAACTAACAATAGCAAATAAAAATGGAATTAAAACTGCTTTGACTGCCAGGTTCTTTAGATATTACCAAGTTAACATTATTAGCATACTATACAATCAAAATTCTTCTTCAATATGGATCTAAGCACGCATCGACACTGCTCCGGCTTTTGCTTGTGCTTTAAATATTTCTTATACATATATATATACAAAATATTACTTTTTGTAATCATTTATCAACAGAGAAATACCTGTGAGGTCTACAAATTGCCTAAAACACAGGTTTTTTTGAGAATTCAAAACAATTTTTTATGGAGGTGAAAATATTCAAAAAGTAATCATAACATCTTAACTTTAACCAGATTTCACTTATTTGCTATTATTCATTATAGGACAAGCCACCATCCCCAAATAGAGACAAATTGTTCAATACAAATGCTTTTCTTTGCCCCATACCGTGTCATATTTCAAATTTAAAATCATTAAATAATAACTATTTTCCAGCCTGAATCATAAAATTTATGCAAAAGTAAGAAATAATATGATTCTTAGCCTGTTTATTGCCTGTAAAACAAGAAACTGAAGCTTTCTTACAACACTGCCTACCTAGTCAGCCAGAACGTAAATATTTTCCTTTACCCTTATTCTCTCCACTTCTTTTTGCACTCCTTTCTCATCTGTGCTTGTTCATTTCATCTAATGTTACCACAGTTACGCAACTTCTTAGGATAGCCATCGAACAAAACCAGGCCCAACCCCAACCAGGCATCTAATATGGGCTCTAAGTAATGCATCATTTCAGAAGCACTAACTCTGAATTTCTTTGTTTTCACAAAATAGAAGCAAGGTTTCAAAAAGTTACAGGTTGATTTCAGGGGGCCATAGACCAAGAAGTAATCAGTTTTGAATAAGAAACAACTTAGCTTCACCTCGCAAAGCTGACAGGTACCATTAAAAATTCTGAAAAAGACAAATATGACAATACAGATTTAAACAATTGAGTTTAATGTTCATTATTTCATTTAATATTTATATTATATGTCTAATAAAACAATAATCATACGATGGGACGGAAAATAATAAAAATGTTATTTAATAATATTTTCATTACTGACATTATCATAATAATGTAACTTCAGAATGGATAGAAACTGTTAATAAATATACCTGCATTAGAAGTAGCAGCTATCAGAGGATAAAGAGGGCACATTGTTAAATCTGTTAAGCTGCAGCCTAATCCTGAAAGCAACTGAGTGCATACTACTTTTGTAAAGCCAGAAGTAACTTGCACTTGCCACAGAAAGCCTTGACGATCCTACATGTGCGAAAATATACAAAATCTATATAAAAAATTTAAGAAGCCTAAGAAATAAAAATGCAGAAGATACAATGGACGTCACTATTCTGATTCCTCCTTCCAATAAAAAGGGTGTGAGGAAAAAATGCTACACATTAATTTTTTAGATTTCAGTTTATATAATAAGAGTGGTATTTTCTGTTACATGTTTGTTAAATTTAATCATAAGAATCCCTCGAAATAATATGGTAAACTTGGGAAAAAAAAAGGCGCATCTTTTTTCTCCTCAGCAATAAATTTTCTACATGTAAACTAAATATTTTTCATCAGGAGCTTCCTAAGCATCTTAAAAATTTGTTCATGACAGCATGTGTTGCTACATGAACACTAGGAAATGCCAATTAAAGATGGATAATGACATTACCAACTCTTATCATAAAAAATATTTAAACATTTAAGTAGCATATTTTATTCCCATCCACAGTGACTACAGAAGATACTAATTTCTTCACATTTGGTAAAATGAATCACGTTATAACTGCAATTGTTTCTAACAAGCAGAAGAATTAGTAGTAAACAAAAAGTGATTAAAAATGCCAATAGAAATAGCAAAATAGGAGAAATAAATAAAAATTTTAAATTAAAAAAAATTAATGAAGCAGAAAAGGAAAGCAAGTAGTTGTGTGTGTGTATGATATAAACGATATAAAAAAATTATTAACTTTAATTTAGCAATAGTCCTTTCTATTTCCCATTTAAGGCTCACTCTTTATGAGAAAATATTAATTTTTTTATATATTATTACTATTTATTTTTATATATACATAATAGAATATAGTTTTAAATTTATGGATAATGGAATGTTTTAATGCAGTTGAATGGCTAGTTGCCTTAAAGAAATAACGAAGGCCTTTATAAATAACCGCCCAGCCCTCTAAACCCTTGGTGATTTAATACATCAATTAGTTAAAGTGGATTGATGTATATGTTTGCATTTGGAGAAAGCTGTGCCGTCTTCCAGTTTTGTGTAAAATAAGAAAATTAGAAACTTAATAATAATAATACAACCCATAATTTCAGTAATAGTACTACAAATAATGTTAAAATGCAAGTTATAATAAAATTTTGAAATTTGTTCTGATTATTCAAAATAAGTGATAAGTGAACAAAATCTTTATACTTGTGATATTGGGTTAAAAGTTCTGAAATACTTTCTCTGAATAAATATGGTTACTCAGAGAAAGCATGATTATGAAGATTCTAAAACTAATTGTGACCAAATTACTGTCAAAAATTTTGAAATTTGTTCTGATTATTCAAAATAAGTGATGGATGAACAAAATCTTTATACGTGTGATATTGGGTTAAAAGTTCTGAAATGCTTTCTCTGAATAAATATGGTTACTCAGAGAAAGCATGATTATGAAGATTCCAAAACTAATTGTGACCAAATTACTGTCAAATCTGATTCTCTCTCAACATGGCTTGTTTTTTATTCATAAGATTTTTTAAAAAATATTATTATTATTGAGTGATGTAAAACTTTATTCACTAAATTTGTAAGACCTATCTTGAATATACAAGTTATTAGTCTGAATTTGAATTTTATTTTTTATTTCATTTATGTAACACAGAAGAATATTTATGGACATAAAATCATAATTAATAACTTTGATATATTTATGCAATGCTAAAATCCAGTTACCTTGTATAAGGAATGGAGGTTTTTATTTGCTACTGTATTTAAGCATCTCATAGCCATTAGCAGGTAATTACATTGATTCGCTTGCAAGAAGCTGCCAATTTTATATATTATAATCCTCTTTGAAAAGGAAAATATATTCTTGCAAATTTAGTTGATGCTAACAAACAAAGTAAAAAAAAAAAAAAAAAAAAAAAAAAAAAAACCTGCTCTGTTGCTTACAACGGCAAACACTTGTGCCAAGGTGAAAAAACACTGTATTTATAAAGAAACCAATCGGAAACTATGACCCAAAAGAAATAATCTCATCATAAATTAAGTTTGTTAAAATAAAAACAAAAACTCCAAATGATTTACACCACATATTATTAAGCTAGATGCTAAGGGTAACTGTGGTTGCTTTTTGGACATGTGATTTCCATACACAGTTCAGTTTCATTAACTATCACCCAAATATGTCTTTAAGGCAATGTATCCTGTCATTAGCAATGATCATAACTCTTAGCACAGGTGCCACAAACATGTAATCTGAAGTGCCGGAAGTATGTTTCCCTATGTAGATGGATTGCCGCAGGCCCCGCAGTCCTTCAGAAATACTTGTTTGGAGATATGTCTCATGTAGCTCAAATCTGCTACCTTTACTGGTGATTCTCTAGTGATCTTTAATTTAGGTAATTATAATCTAAAATTGCGGGTTGTAACTAATTATTGAAAAAAATTCTTTAACACATTTTACATGGTTTTCCCATGATGATAACTTGAAATTTTTTACTATGCGATGCATATTATGTTGAAATATTATCTACAGAAGATAATGTGAGTTATATAATCGTGCTTAATTCATTTTTTGTGATGGGGATCAACGGTGACGCCCCAAGGCCCTGTAGACCATTATTGCAATTTATAATTTAAATTTTTACAATTTATTATTCTTTAAACCATTATAGTAACTATTTAAAAATTTATCAGTATCAATATTTACTCTAATTACGTATTTTACTACTGGTCGCGTCACAGGTGGCACCCACAGTGCTGTAACCAAGTCGAGTGCCGGTCACTGGCCCAAGGCAATCAATGTGTTAACTATGGGAGAATGGTATTTCATAGCAGAAAGCTGACAAGCGGTCAGAAGACAAGCTGTCAGATTTAATCATTTGTTTTAAAAGTTGTGTGTTACAGGACATACAGGATGTCCATAATTTATTCAGTGGATAAAGATATCTTTTAAATGATACAGAATAAGATATAGAGAAAAGAGACTGATTGAATTTTATTTAGTACTTCAAAGAGTTTTATATTAATACACTTCAATATGTGCACTATCTGTTGCTTGGAGAATATAAAGTCTGTCCTCAATTTTCCTTTAGAGGTTATTAAGCATTTTCGGAATCACAATAGCTGTTTCTGTAGTGATTAGACTTTTTAATTATTTGATATTGCGAATCTCTGCAGCATAAACTCGGTTCTTCAGGTATCCCTCAAAATAGTAGTAGAGTGGTGTGATGTCTGGAGAACAGGGTGGCCATGAAATCGGTCCACCTCTACCAACATTTCTGGGAATGTTTCATGTGTAGCCCAATGACAGGGGGCCCAATATTGTTAGAGGGAGGGAAAAGAAACATTTGGCTGCTTTTCTTCCAACTGCAGTACTGAAACCAATCTCAGCATATCAAAATAATCATCCGATTTAATTGATGACTCCGAGAAAAGAAGCAGCCAACCACTTTGAGTTAGTGCACATCAAACGTTAACTTAAGAACTAACTCGCTCAATTTCCCTTACCAAATGCAGGTTTTCTGACACCCAATTCCTGCAGTTATGTCACATTTAACCTCTCCTCAAACATGAGATGTTCATCACTGAATCAAACTCCATCACTGAATATGATTTTTTTAAAGAAATTGATCATAATTACTGATACAGTCAAAAATGTCTACAGAAAATTCCTTATGAAAAACTTGATCATTAGGTTTGATTTTTTGATTTGGTCTATTTATATGCAGTCCGTTTCAACCATTCATGAATAACGTTAGCAAGAGTCAACCAGGGAATTTCTGTTTGCAGGCTGGCATTGCAAATGGATTTACTGGAACTGCATAGAAACACATCTCGAATGGCAGAAACATTTTCATCACTGATGCTTGGCCTACCTGCACTTCCTTTATGCAAAACACGACCAGTTTCTCGAAACTTTTCTAAACACTCTTCTGATTGATTGTTCCATTGGTAGAGGTTTAGTAAATTCATGTCAGGATCGTTTCTAAACTGTATTCGGGGATTTCATATCCATAACCAGACAACACACATTGCTTTTTTAATGCATGATGCCATTTTTCTGTGAACAATTAAAATTCTCTGATGCCATTCCCCAAAATTAGAACAAACAAAATTCCCTGAACTAAAACATTGATGTAAATTATTTGTCGTTACTTTGTAAAATTACATTTCAACTTAATTTTGTTATCCAGTAATTAAATTATGGATACTTTGTAGAATTGTGTGCTTAACTGCTGATTATTCAGCTTGGAATGCTCTATCTTGGGTTTTAAAAAACCTTTCCATATAATCTTTTTTCCTGATGGTTTAAAAAGCATATAGGCCGAGTCCTGAGTCCACCTTTCAATCAATCTTTGAACCATCAGTGAATGCCAGTAATAAAATAAAAGTCATGATCACTATTCTTCAGAAAGATTTTTCTTAGTTCAAGTTTCTGTAGTTTTCTTTGGGGTTCTGACTGTTGTACTTTAAGAGAAAGGGGATGCAGCAGTTGGATCCCTACTAATGTGAAGTATAGAGACTGTCCCTGAAAGCTCCCAGTTTACTTATTTATTTCTATGATTCTTAATCAATGGTGTGGTAAAGAGTTTGGGCCGTAAACCAAAAGAACCATAAATAAATGATATTTTCTTGATTATTGTTCTAAAATGATATACTCATTACATACCTTCACACATTTTCTTCTAATGCATCTTAATTTGTATGGACATATTTCAAACTGCATGTCTGTTCTTAAAAATATGACAAATGTTTTTAAACATATGTGTGACAATTAATTTCCAAGATATACTTAATAATTCAAAAGAGAACTTATAATCATTCTATTACATTGTTTATGTCTCATAACAGACAAACAATGCTTTTGGCATAAAAATCTAAGGTGGAAAAGGAAAGGCACAGGGAATGTTAATGAAAATTACATTGAATTTTTCAATACATTTTGTTACTTTCAATAAATTGCTAATTTCCTTATTTTGCAGCAATAGTAAAAAATTAATAACTGTTATTTATAAACCATTTGCAACAAAATTAATTTGTATTTAATCACATATAATATTTTTTGTACAATATTTCCAAACAGAATTATTAAGTAATATGCAATAAAACTTATTTTCTGAAGAAGTCAAAGAAACTTTCATGCTAACAAGCTTCTTACACTAACACATTTCATCTCTAATAGTAAAAAAAAAAAAAAAAAAAAAAAAAAAAAAAAAAAAAAAAAATTAGATGGACGACACTTTTAGAAGCCATTTCGAAATGCTGTTTTGAGCAAAAGTATTTATGATGCTAAAATGCTAAAATCTACTAAATGATTATATCAATTAAGAATATTATAATAATTCTCATCTTGCAGGCCATTTAATTAACAGAACTGAATAAATTCTTTGGTTTTACATTTATTTGTAATTACTTATAAATGCAAGAAGAAATTTAAACTGCAAGTTAATATTTTAAAAGTTTTAACTTACTTGCATAAAAAACATAATTTGATCATTTTTAAAACTGTGTAATACAGCAAATATAAGATCTGAATCCTTAGACACAGTAAATTCATGTATTGTCTCAAGAGACAGAAAATCCAGCTTCTTGTTTAGTCTGAGCCCCTTCTCATCCTCTCCTTTTTCCAATGATAAATTACTATTCTCTAATTCTTCTTCTGACTCTGAAGAATATTCAGAATACAGTTGCTGTAACACATTCATATATTCCCAAAACTAAATAAGAGGAAATCATAAAAACAAGATCTCTTTTTCCAATGTTGTAATAAGATAGATATCATTTGACTAAATTTTACATCATAAAATTAATATTAACACATTGTAATAATATATATCCTATGCTATCTAATATTTTATAAGACAGAAAAAGACATAAATTACAGTCAGGCAAATTTAGTTTCAGTTTTAATTTGGTATTCTGTGTTCCATCCTCCCAACTTTTAAATCAAATAACTAATTTATCAAATGAGACCTTAATAGTTTAAAATAATTAGAGCATAAATTAATTACTCTCTAAATATTATAATAAATTCCGATTCAACTTAAGATCTGCAATTCACTATTGTTAACTTCCTTTTGTAGTTAAATTAATCACTCGTAAAATGGTTGTAAAAGACAAACATTTATTTAAAGATAAATCTTAATAACCTACACATAACGTATTCATAACGGTACATAACAAACATACTTACTGCATCGTACCATTAAACATTTCAAGTGTGCATCATCTCAATGTATATTTTTAAAATTATAAAATAGAACGACATCCAGAAATTAGCTGATGCCATTTTCTCAATAGATATTTTGTCTAATAACAATTAAATAATTTGCAATCGTGCTTCATTCAACCATCCTGACTTTTCAATTGTCCTCAATTCAACCAAATCTTGTCATACATTAAAGCAACAAATAAACAACAAGAAAATATAATCAGTAGGTAGGAAAAAAAAAATAAAATGAAATATAATTTTAAAAAAAATTCTATAAGTCCTATACAAAGTCTCTATAGTGCAATGGTTTACGCACTGTTCGCTTCGGCCTTTTAAGTTCATCATCGTCTACGTCATCATCACCATCGTCGTCATTGTCATCATCATCATTTGCTTCTGCATTTTTCCAAGACTTTAGTTGACTTACATGAGCAGTTTATGTATAAAAGCGACCATCGCAGGCTTCTTCTAGTTGTGATATTCTATAAATGTTGCCCGGAAGTACTTCTGTCACAACCATTGGACCACGATACTTAGGTTGAGTTTTGGTTGGTTCTCCTGGTGCAGATCTTGAATTTCTTTTAACTACTACTATATCTCCTTGCTCAAATGACAGAGATACCGATTTCGTCTTGTCATAATAAGTTTTTATTTTTTCTTGTTCTCTAACAATATTTTATCTAGCTTCTTTTTGTAGTTTTTCCGGTTCCTTCCAAACTTTTGCTTCTTCATTAGCAAGTAATCTCAAATCTCCATCTTGAAATCGTGGTATATATCCATGAAGTATTTCAAATGGTGCTTTTACCAACAGTTTTATTGATTGCATTATTCAAGTTTCTCTCAACTTCTTTAATTCTTTTGTTCCAATCCCTTTTGATCTTTACTTTTCATTGATGTTACTATCGATGATAAAATTGTTCTGTTCGATCTCTCAACCATACCATTTCCTTGTGGGTTGGGAGGTTGAATTTAATGTATGGAAGAATTCCCTTTTCCTTTCAAAAGTTTTGACAATTCCTTTGAAGTAAAACAACAACCTCGATCTGATATTATACGATCTGAGTAATCCAAATTCTTCTTTGAAATTCATCAATGATTTCAGTACGTTTTCCGAAGATGTGTTTTTCACAGCATACAGCCGAACGAATCCGGTCATATTATTCAATGACGACTAGCAATTCCTTGTTTTTTTTTAGAACTTGTGAAGAAAGGTCCAAGATGATCAATGTGTATTGTTGCAAAAGGTCTGCGGACCTGGAGGAATAGGATGCAGAAGACCCTGTCTTTTTCCACCCGGAACTTTGTTGATGAGGCGTTCGAAACACATTGATATATGTTGACGAACATATCTCTTCCTAGCAGGAAACCAGTACAGTTCTTTGATTTTTGAGACAGTCCTATCAACAGCAAAATGTCCCATAAGATCATGAAACTTCACAACTATGCTTTTTCTCATGCTTTTAGGTACAACGTATAATAACTTCTTCTTTTCTCCATCCTCCACAATACGGAACAGTCTATTCCTTTTCAAAATATAATTCTCCACATTTTGATTTTCTTCTTTGGTTCTTTCACTTGGGTCTTTCTTCAAAATTGTTTTCAATTCTCTTAACTTTTCATCTGCATGCCGTATCATAAGAATTCGTTCGTCTAAATTTAAGGTCAGACAAACTTCTAAATTATCTTCTATCAAAGAATGCATGGTGTCCGATGAATTAATAACAGGAGCTCTACTGATTGCATCGATATGAGACATTTTAATTCCTGGTTTGTGGCATATTTCAAAATTATATTCTTGAATAAGGATACTCCAACAAGCAATTTGGGGATTGCTAGATTTCTTTGCATTCATGTAAACCAATGCTTGGCAATCGGTAACTACCGTAAATTCAATTCTGAGTAAGAATTGTCGTAGTCTATCTAGAGTCCAGACAATGGCCATTAGCTCAAGTTTACTCGAGTTATAAAATTCTTTTCAGCTTCCGATGTCTTTTTACTCATGCAGTAGACAAGATTCCATTTGCCGTCACTTCCGAGTTGAAGTAACATGCCAGCAATACCCTCTGAGCATGCATCAGTATGGACTTCTGTTTGAGCTTTAGGGTTGTACAAAGCTAAAATTGGTTGATTCATCAGTTCATTTTTCAGCACTGTAAAAGAATTCCGCTGACTTTCTTCCCATCTGAATGTTTGATTTTTCTTAGTTAGTTGAGTCAATGGTCCAGCTTTAATGGCATAATTTGGAATACACCTTCTAAAAAAACTTGTTAAACCAAGAAATTGTCGAACTTGATGAAGGTTTTTAGGTTTTGGGAATTTTGATATTACTTCAACTTTTCTTGATCCCAGCTTTATTCCGTTTTTATTGATGATAAAGCCTAAATATTCTATTTTTTGTTTGGCAAATTCACATTTCGGTAACTTCAGGTTTAGCTTAGCTGCACGTAGTGCTTTGAATACTTTAATTAATTTCTGAATCATTTCTTCCCAAGTCCTTGCTGGAACAAGTATATCATCAAGGTAGCACAACACTTCTTTATTACATAATGAGGATAATGCACGTGATACATCAATCGCTGGAAATTCTGCAGGAGGCGTTAGTCAAGCCAAAAATCATTCTTTCAAATTGTCCGCCTTTCATCCTGGTGTAACGAAAGTAGTTTTCAATTTTTCACTTTCAGTTAATGTGGAATCTGTAAATATCCGTGTGCTAAATCTAGCATTGTAAACAGATTACACTCATGCAATTGTTCTAATAAATCATCTATTTTAGGCAGAGGAAATTTATCCTTTATAGTTTGACTATTGAGACGTCTGTAATCAAAAACTAATCTGTATTCACCAGTCTTTTTCTTTACTAGTATGACAGGACTAGCATATGGGGATCGCTTTTCTGTTCCAAACTTCTGCTTCTTCATCAGCAAGCAATCTCAAAACTCCATCTTGAAATTGTGGTTCATATCCATGAAGTATTTCAAATGGTGTTTTACCAATAGTTTTATTGATTGTGTTATTCAAGTTTCTCTCAACTTCTTTAATTCTTTTGTCCCAATCCTTTTGATCTTTACTTTTCATTGATGTTACTATCGTTGATAAAATTGTTCTGTTCGATCTCTCGACCATACCATTCCCTTGTGGGCGTGGGTTTGAATCCCACTTCTGATTTATGTTAACTTCCTTTTGTAGTTAAATTAATCACTCGTAAAATGATTGTAAAAGACAAACATTCATTTAAAGATAAATCTTAATAACCTACACATAACGTATTTGTAAACGTACATAACAAAACAAACGTACTTACTGCATCGTACCATTTAACATTTCAAGCGTACATCATTTCAATGTATATTTTTTAAATTATAAAATAGAACGACATCCAGAAATTAGCTGTTGCCATTTCCTCAATAGATATTTTGTCTAATAACAATTAAATAATTTGCAATCGTGCTTACACTATTAATCATTATTTTACATTTATTTTCTGCATTTATACATTTCAGCTTTACACTTTTCATGACTATTAAATGATATTCACATATAATTCCCATGATAGGGTAACATGGTGGTAAAAGTTTTCTAAACAAATAAAATATGTTTCTTATATTAGTTATTTCAATAAATACAAAACTAAAGTTGAATGATAAACATTAAAAATTTTTCTTGATAATACTTACTTTGAAAACAAGAGATAAGAAGGACACATTTAATTTAAAGGTGGCCAAAGGATAACAGAGTTGACTATGAGCTATTTAAATAACACTTTGCCTTCATTCCTATTCCTCCACATAAATTCAGATGAATTTAGAATCAAATAAAGTATGACTTGCCAGACGCATGAAACTGGCACATATATCTTTCTAGAGAAAATTGTTTTTCATGTATTATCCTACAACAAAAAGGATCGCCATTCCCTGCTGCTCTCCCTTATACATTTAAGGCTTATTTTAAAAATCTTAGGAGATAACAATAAGCAAAATTCATACTGCATTGTTTACTTTCAAAATCTTTCACAAAATATTCTTTACAAAAATGTTTCAAGATTATGTAAATAAAAATGTTTTACTCAAGTTATAATATTTAATAAGCAAGTGTAGTCTGCATTAAATGGACCAACATTATGATCTTTAATTTGAAATGAGACTACGATTGAGTGATTTCAACACCATTAACTAGAATACTCTGCTGAATATTATTGATGATGATTACATTTAAAAATCCAATAGCTAATGTGAAAAATTTATATTTTACTCAGTTTAATATTTACACTTTGTTTTAGGATGGAAAGAGAAAAAAGTCCAAAAAGATGGAAAGACTATATTAAAGTCAGTGTTTTGATGACATTATAATTGCCTCCTAATACATCAATATTCTAACTAAAATATTCTTTTAAAACTGAAATTTAATTCTTGAAAGTTTCTTTAATTAAAAAAAAAAAAAAAAAACTGAAAGAAAAATTTTTAGTAATGAAGTCCTTAGTCTGAATTAAGTCAGACAGTTAGTTTCAAACATTTCTTTTTAAAACAATACAGTATAACACAGTTAAAAACACTCTAATTACATCACTTAAATATTTCCTACTTTTAAGATTGACCACAATAGAACCCTGATCACGGATGCCTCTCATCATGAACAAATTATCTGAACTTAACAACCATGAGTGAGGAATGTTGTTAACAGTTGAACACTCAAGTTGCTAACATATAATTTTTAAAAGTGTTTTGAGGCGACTTATGCTACAGAATTAACATTCAAGAACTTCTAGAAACATCATTTTAACATTTTCCATCACTTAGTTCTCCTGAAAAAAGTCTGGCACAAGATGACTTACAGGACCATGAATTTTGCCAAACTGGTTGCAGGAGAGACTTTTCAGAAGACAATTTTGAAAAAAATGTCTTCAGAATAAGAGGAAGGAAAAAAGATGATCTTAGTTTCTTGATCTGTGAAATTTGTGTAAAGTGGGATAAGATGGTAAATTTCTGCATAATGATAAAGCAGTAGTAAGCATAAGCCTTTTTATCTTTAGAAACATTTGAAAACATAGACAACAATTATACTGGGCAAAAGAGGCTCAGTGAATCTCAAGCTGAGTCAAGTGGCATTTAAAGACACCAAAAAGATACCCCCTAAAGAGAATTACCTAATGTTTTCATGGAAGGGAATTCCTCATCTAAACAATATCTATCTCATCATTTCCATGTATGTCATCCACTCTGCCATTGCCAGTTTGGCAGAATAGCCGGGACATAATCTGTTTAGAGGCACTAGAACCAAGTTAATTTTAGAGCCTTTATTGTAATAATTACATCAGGTAAATCAAGCTTTGATTCAAAAGTATTGAGCCGTTGTCAACAGAAAAGGCTTCATTCTACAACATGATAATGCAAGATCACACTTTTCAAGAGACCCTGGATAAAATCAAAGAATTGGAATAGGAGGTTTGACTTTCACCATCACATTTGCCTGACATCTGATTATTCAGGGTGTTCTAATATTTCTTGAATGGAAAAAAAATTTTGAAAATGCAGAAATCAAAAACAGAATTTTCAGCTTTCTTTTTTAAAATCAAAAAACTGTCTTTCTTCTACAAATCTTGAATTGGGGGGGACTGAGAATGAGGGTGATTAACATCATTGACTCTAAATATATTATTAAATTATTATTATTTTATATAAAATCTATGATACCCTTTGATTTCGAGTACACATATAACAAAATGGTGCATCTAATATGCAAAAATAATCCAAACTCTTTGATTAATCAACCTCTTTGGTTAATGTATTCAATACAGCCAGAAACGAATTCAATATAGCCTATTATAATAGATTAATTATAATAGGGAAATAAATAAAAAATATCCCCAATGAGTGCTCGCAGATTTCCATCATTAAAAGTATTTAAATTTGGACATATGAAAAATATTACATTAGTTTTGAAATATTACATTAGAATGAAGATGGAACTCCTCAAATATATATTAAAATATATGAAGATGGAACTCTTCAAAGAAAAAAACTGATTTTTGTATATATTTTTTTAAGTAAATCAGTATTTTACTTTTTTTAAGCATAATTAAACATCATTTAGTAGCATTGAAATGCAAAGAACTGCTTTGTATTCATTGGAGAAAATTCTTTAGGTGAAAATAATAAAATATTAAGCAAAACTAATAAAAATTAAAAGCAATTTTAGGAATAAAAGAAAGCTGGGAGAAATATGCTGTAAATCAGGCTGGAGGGAGCATGGTCACAAAACAGGTCTCTCACCTTAATTGGGAGAGTTGGCTTGTCTACAAACATTAATTTTCTAGAATAAAAATAAATTGGATGAAGATTACCATCTGGGTGCTCTTCTTTTAAAACTGCACCAACAGCTTCTTTAGATGCATGCACAAATACATGACAAAGATATTTTGGATTAAACAAAGTTAGACTGGGTCTCGAAATTAACGCATCTTTTAAATTTGGACATTCAGCAGCCCATTTGAAGAATAAAATGACGTCTTCCATATACATGACAAACATTTATTTAAGCTATGAAGACGTTGAACAGCAGAGTAGAAACATGATATTACACAGAGCTTAGCACTTCTCACTTACATGCGATACTCACCACTGACTTTGGCTAACTGCATAGAAAAATATTACACAGCAGAGAACTTGCTTATCATGTGCATGCGCTAGGGGAATCAGCGGCGGTTGCCAACATATATCTGTGTAATATCATGTTTCTACTCTGCTGTTCAACGTCTTCATAGCTTAAAAAAATGCTTGTCATGTATATGGAAGACGTCATTTGATTCTTCATAGGTTATGGGCCCAGACAGCACTTAACTGTGCAGTCCAACCACCATTGTTAAATTCTTTCAGCAAGCCAAGCTGCGTCGACCTGAAAATCAAAATGACGACGGACTAAATGCAGTTTCAATTGAAAAGCTTAAACAAGAACAACTTTGACACGTGGAAGTTGCAAATGGAAGCAACACTGATTAAAAATGATCATTGGGACTTTGTAACTGGGAAAATTCCGAAACCAGAACCTGGTGTTGAAGAATTTGCTAAATGGAAAAACTACTGACCATAAAGCATGAAGTGGATATAATCCTATCCATCTTAACCTAGTGAACTTCCACAAGTAAAGTATTGTGTAATATCTCATGAACTGTGGAGTAAATTGTATTCTATTTATGAATCTAAGGGACCAGCTTGAAAGGACACAATTCTAAAAAAATTGATTTTTACAAAAATGAGTGAATTCAAAACAAATGACTGATCATCTAAATGATTTTTTCATTCTTGCGGATAAATTGAAAGAAATGGAAATAAACATTGCAGATGATTTGCTTACAATATTGCTTTTATATAGCATATTGGACTCTTATGAAAGCTTTCGAATAGCCATCGAATCTCATGATGAACTGCCTCCTCCAGAAATGCTGAAAATTAAACTGTTGGAAGAAGCTAGCGCTCGCAGAAATAAAGATTCACCATTTTCTGAACCTCAACATGCATTCTATTCAAAAGATCGGAAGTATACTCAATGACCATTTCCTAAAACTAAACCAGATAAGTCTGCAAACCAAAGACAGTATCCAGTTAAGTACAAATGCAACTTCTGCCATATCTTTGGGCATAGAGCATCGGAATGTAGGAAGAAAAGTAAAGAAACTAAAAGCAAACGCCTCAGTGAAAGTGTGATGTCTACAGAAAATCAGAATTCCTTGGAGCAAGAAAGTGCCGTAGCATGCAATAATAGTAATTCTAGAGACATTTTTTGTCTGGATAGTGGTGCAACATCACATATGTGTAACAGCAAAAAACTGTTCCAAGAAATTTACGAGATAGGTGATACTTATGTTAAATTAGCTGCTGATAAAATAGTTAAAGCTATTGGAAAAAGGAACTGTTAAATTTAAAGTTTGCATAGGTTCTAAAACTGAAAATATCAAACTCAAAAATGCATTGTGTGTACCTGATTTTAAAAATAATTTAATTTCAGTGTCTAAAGTAACTGAAAATAATCTTTCAGTAATTTTCAAATAAAAATGTGCTCAAATAATTAATTCTAATAACAAAACAGTAATTTTGGCTAAAACACGAAAATGATCTTTATTTTGTCATGCCAATATTTTGAATCTGTATCAGTTGCTAAGAAAGACCAGTGCATATGAGATTTGGCCATTTAAATGAAAATGATCTTAAAAAACTTCAAATAAATAACATGATTAGAGGTCTTTCTTTTTCTTGAAATGACTCTCTTTCTACTTGTATGGTATGCATTCAGGGTAAACAAACTGCAACCCTCCTTCCCAAAGAATCTGAATGTAGAAGTACTGAACTGTTAAATCTAATTTATTCTGATTTGTGTGGTCCCATGAGAACCGAATCAATAGGTGGATCATTTTATTTTGCAACATTTATCGATGATAAATCTTGATATGTCCATGTTTATTTTCTGAAATCTAAGGATGAGGTTAAAGAAGCTTTCAGCATCTTTTGAAAACAAACTTAACTCTAAAATCAGAATCCTGCAAACCGATAACGGGCTAAAATATTTAGGGAAAGACTTTTCTTATAATAAATAATAATATTTCTTATAAATAATTTCTTAGTGATGCAGGAATAAAACACCAAATGAGCACTCCTTACATGCCTGCCCGGGGGGGGGGTGGCTATAAAAATCTCTCTCTTTTTTTTCTTTAAATTATAATAATCATTAACTAAGCATGTGAAAACAATTTTTCTTCATGCTTCATCAAGAAGGCAGTTACCTTAAATTGACCATCAGAACCAAAAGTAATCATAAAATTCTCATGGATAATTATATAATTGACAGATCCATCATGCAGAGGAGAAGAATCTAATTTCCGAATCTCAATAGCATCATCAGTAGACAACAGCTCATGGTTCCACAAAAAAACATGTCCTTCTTCAGTTGAAGACAAATACTAAAAATAAAAACATTTTGATGATGAAATAATTTTTTTCGGAGAGTTTAAATGAAAAAAAAAAAAAAAATATGCATGAAATGCAAAACATCACTGAAAAAAATTTTCTTCTTCCAAAACAAGTGCAATGACATTTACAGATTGCACACAAAAATTATTAAGTCAAGAACAAGTATCCTTAAAATTTTAGAATCTTTTCATCACATACTAAGCAATTTGTCACAGAAAGATAAATGTGTTAATGCCTGATATTAATCGTCATTAAATTAAATGTTATCTCCAATAAGAGTGTTTTTGTTTTGAAAGTATATATTTTTAATAAAAAGTTTACAAATGTGTCATTCTATTTCATTCTTTGTTTATAAAAATAACTAACCTAAGAGATATATTCATATATTTAAAAATTTTTATATTAGTTGAAATTAGCTGATGAAAAGTATATCATCTTGTAGGAAGTATCAATTTGTGGCATATATCTTTCTAGAATAAAATATTTAGTGTATGTTGTTCTAAAATGAAAAAGATTCAAATTTTGATTGCAATAATAGCGAACTTTAAACTATACACAGGGTTCGTACACATTTCCTTACATGAAAATTAAGGACTTTTAAGGACCATCAAAGAAAAAATTAAGGACCTATCAGTAAACAAAACAAAACAAACAAACAAAACAAAAAAAAAAAAAAACGAATAGAATAAAGCAATTATCCATACAACCGACTTCATGCTTGTATTTCACTTTAAGAAACTAACAGAAGTGTGTAGTATGCACTATTATTAAATTCACTTTAATACTTACCATAAAACAATTTTGAAATTAAACTAACTCCCCTACAAGTTATGAGTAGATAACATTAAATTAGGAACATAATTTCTTTAAAAACATGTATAAAGTGTATTTTACACTAATAACAGTCACTATTTTAGAGATTTACATGATTATTATTTAACTTATTTGATATTTATTTAACACAGTCAGCTACTATTATAATCCACACGTAAGAATACTTTGCCGATTAAAATAACTGATTTGTAAACATACAATTTATTTCCTTGGTTTTTTGAAAGATACTAGAATAATAAACTGTACAATAAAAGATACAAAATTTGTGCTTTTTTTTTAAATCTGAAATATTTTTAGCTATTTTAACATCTAATTTATTTATGTCTATTTCCTTTTCTTTAACTATTCTTCTAAGTTCATTTGCTTTGATAAACTAATCAATGTTCTGCTGCTGGTCTCAGCTTCATCTGCTAAAGCATCTCTTCTTCATTAATATCTTTAATGTCCCTTTGAAGAAATGTTTTCTTCTGCTTCATATAATCAATTTCTTCCTCAATGATATTTCTTTTCTTTTCCTCTTTGAATTTTCAGATTTAGTTAAAGATTTTTGTTCTTCTAATACTGCATATATTTAGACCTTGCAGGAAGCTGCTGCTGATCTCATTTCTTTATTAATTTCGATATTAAGAACTCCAGAAAATTTTATGTAATCAAATACTATACGTTGAAAAAGTATGATGAGTCATTTAAATTTTCAATTTCAATTGCTTTATTTACAGAGAAGCCCCTTTCCACAGAGGCCTGTCCATGTGACAAGATAAGAATCATTTTCACTATTTTCCATACTTTTGAATAGTGAAAATCATTAAAATAAGAAGTGAGAAATGTGTCAAGAAAAGATTTTGAGGGATCAAAAGTAGAAAATTCATGTAATTTGTTTAACTACTTTGTCTAGAAACTTTTCAACTGCAGGCAGAATTTCATCCCAATCATCTTGTAAAACACGTTTATTCTGCATTATACCGTTAGAACTATTTTCATTTTGTTCTGGGCCTTTTCTGGACTTTTAAACCATCAATCGTGGGTCTATGCAAGATGCATTTCGAATAAGAGAATAATTTATTGGACATTTAGACATTAAGTGTGTACCATTTTAAGACACATTGTTGACCTTCTTGTTTCAATGCAAAACTTTCAGCTTGTGAAATGTCCTTCTTGGGGGCATTTATCATCATTAACTGCTCAGCAATGAATCCCAAAATAAACTTTACTTTTAATCATTATAACAATTTGGATCATTAAAATTAAATTTATAAAGATTTTCTGCTTTAGTTATTTTTGAATATTCTAGTTTCAAAATTTTAAGTGCTGAAGGCAATCATTTACGAGTTTTAAGATATCTTCAGCAAAAAAGGGAATAAGTGATTTATCGCTTTGATAATATTCAAGGAAAGGCAATAAATATTTTCGATAGAGAGAGAAAAAAATTTAATTTTATAAGAAGTGTTTTAGCCTTAGCTTGCTCTCCAAAATATTTGAGAACGATTTCGAATGAATTTTTTTTAAACTGCCCCATTTCAACTTCTTTCAATGTACATGTAGCAAGTCATCCCATATCTCAATGGCTCTTTACACTGCTGGGACATTTTGCAACCATCGGTAAAAGTAGCAACTTCACAGGAAGCTTTTTTAAGCCAGATACTTACTTAAAAAACCTTCACGTCTTGCAGGAGAATCTTTAAAAATGCCAATGTAAGGAGGTATAAGAATGATGAAATGTCCCAGCCAGTGGATGACATCCCATGCTTGAAAGCATTATTAAGAATGTGTAAACCACATGTCCCTAATGTCAAGCATTGAATGTTATATTCCTTTGTCAAGTCCTGTTGCAATAAATCATAAAATTTCCAGTTTACTGCTAGACCATCCATCGATATTTGTAAGAGTTTTGACACAAATATCGATGGATGACACAATTTGTTTCAGTTTTTCAACACATTCATAAAATTTGGATAAAATAATTTCACTTGTTGCATGCATTATAAATGCAGAAGTAAGGTACTGAGTTCTGACCTTATTTTTGTGATGCCAGTACCTCACATAAATATCTAGTTGCTTTTTTTGGTTTGGTCAGATTAAGAGTCCTCATCAAATAGTAATGTAAAACACTCAGCATTTTTACAATGCTTTAGTAACAAAGGTTTTAAAGTAAGGGCCATGACCAAAATAACAGATATAAGCACATTTCTTTACACCACATGAAAACTATTTAGTTTGCAATGGAACTATCCGGGAACATTTTAGTGGATAACGGCCCAATATCATCGCACGATTTAAAAGAATAGTGGCTTTTGATGCACTTAAAAGCCCACAATATTTCTGCATCTGTAACTTCAGATTTGAAAAGAAAAGAATTGATTTTATTATTTTCTACACTTATTGATGTTGAATTAGCAGTTACATCTTTTTCTGAAGTAGATGGTTCTTTAAACTTGACAAAATTCATGATACTGTTAGAAGAAACTCTGCCGTTGAGAAGGGAAAGATGTTTTGCAGCTAATCCCGATTCTTATCTCCCGATCGGAAATCCTGATTCTTAATCTCAGTTTGGCGCTAAATAAAATATCTCATTATTGAAGAAATAATTATTTTAGCATAAATTTGTGTGATTAGTAACTTGACTCCATACCTGCGTATCTGCTTGGCATAATCTCAAACTGAACCATTTGTTAATTTTACACCAACTAATATTTTATATCCTTGATGCCGAAATCACGCATCATTATTTATTGTATTTTGCTTTCATCACCGCATGTTTATCAACGGATGGCAACTTGAGTGATGACTCATGCAGAGAGCCAAATAACAGAGTATTATCCGATTACAGATTTAAGTTTAATGCGCTAAAATGTTGACAAGGGGAGATTTAACAGAAATTTCTTTCCTTATGCTAAAAATAGATTTTGTTAATGATAATCATAGGACAAACGATTAATTTAGTGCTATTGAATTAAGAATAACTGATTTGTTATTCACATAAAGCCAGAACCAGCGCCAGAGCTCGCATGCCCGCACCAGGCGGCAGAATTTAGGGAAGTTAAACAGAATTTTTCATTGCGATGACAATGCCCCAATCATCAACCAATTAACAGAGGGCGAAATCTGTAGTATGGTTCTAAAATCCAGAAAATACGCTACCGACATGAAAAATTTGGTTCTATTTCTAAATTGAAAGATTCGTATTGCTTAAACCAGTTAAAAGATCTTGGTATTTTAATAAGTGATACAGCTATAAATGATAAATCTTGTCTATATGAATATAATTTGGATGAAATTCATTTACTCACAGGAGCTGGTTGTGCGGGAGAATTATTAACGGGGAACATAAAGCATCTTTCAGGAAGCTTAGTTGCCGTTCATACTCTCTTGGGGTGGACAGTAATGAGTAAATATAAGAAAAAAGATGCTTCGGCAGACAATTCAATGCTAGTATTGTCACTTCACGTGAATAAAGCAAAGATTGAAGATCTCTGGAATTTAGATACTTTGGGCATTTAAGATAGTGGCAAAAAACGCACTAAAACAGAGACCCAAGAACTGACTTTCAGAGGAACTCTTAGGAGAGACAATAGTGCCAGATACAAGGTTCAGCCCAAAAAAAGACTTGAAAGCACATTGAAATCTCTTAAATCAAAGAATCGATTAAATAAGCGTGAAGAGGTTTTTCAATAAATGGGAAAAAGAAGGTATTATTGAAAACGTTGATTAGGATAAGTTGAAGGAAAAGTTGGGTATACATTATTTGCCGCATCGAGCGATATTTAAGGAGAACTTTAGTGGTAAAGTTCGGCCTCTGTTTGATGGTTCTGCTAGAAATAACAGCTCCGTATGATTGAATGACTGCATCAAAAAGG